GTGAAAAAGCTTTGAATTAAATTGTTGAGAAACATCACTTGTGTTAACTCCGTAAAGTGCGCGTTTGACTTTCTATACTTGGACTTCACCTATTCCTGAACATCTGTCTGTGAAACATCAGTTCGTACTTTTAGATCTGGAGTGACAATTGCAGCTGAACATAGAAATTTCACCATCATAATACAATAAATCAATCATTGTTAATGTATGTTCCAGTTTTACTGATGAAAGAAAAAGCATACATCTTGTAAATTGCGGACATGTGTCAAGTAGCTGCCAAACGTTTTACATCCGGCTAAAGCTAATACAAACAATATACAAATCCACAGGCTTTGAGCTATTTTTTTCTGGATTTCAAATCACAGTAGTTTAAGTTTACCTTTTGGTACTTCATTTAAGGAATGACGGCGTATTCTGTAGTACTCTAGCGCTCTATAAAGAATATGTTCGTTGCCAGCTGCGTTCATACTACAGTATACGCCGTCAAAATGAAGGTCAATCCTTATATTTACATTAAAAAAAAATTAAATGCTACATTACGCAGAAAAAGAGTCGAAACGGGTTGCCACGATGGTAACTACGGTAGCCGTGGTTGCTACATTTGTACGACAATATAGTTGCAGTGAATCTACATCGATACATGAGTAAATTTAGAAAATACGCAGTGAATAACACTATGCTTTTTCTTTTCGTGGTTTTAAAATTTTAAATTAAGCAATGTGAGAAACTTTTCTAATAATTTATAACGGTCGTCATGTACGCGCATTGATACACTGCTTATTGAGTGACGCGGTCAGAACGAAGCCGCCATTGTTGACGTAACTGCCAAAGAAATTTGAATGTGCATCCATGGAATAAGAAGTTTATCAGCATTCTTTTGTTGTCTAATTAAGCATAATAGATCCCGAATATGTTTTATGTATCTAGGATGGTAACTGATCCAAGCATTAGTTGTCATTGGACTATTATCTCGCTGAAGCGTGAACGGCGCCATATTTGAAACACGCATTAATCCGCCAAGCCTTTTTTTCACTGCGTATACACTAATTTATACGCAGTCAGTGTTAACTAAGCTGAAGAAGGGAGGCATGTAAATATATGTTATTGTAAACTTACCCGGTACTGCTTCAGTAATTTTGAGGGTCACTTCCTGTTCCGGTGTTACCTCTTGCCTAACTGAAGGAACGCCTTCTTTGAGCATTCTTGTCCCGATATAAATATATGCTTGTACATTATTTTGAAGCTATTGTTTCGTTGACACCTCTGTATTATTTTGTTTGTTTGTACGGTTTTTACATTTGTTTTCGCGTAGCTGCAGCTGCGAGTTATGATTGTGGATTTGCGTTCTAATGGTTAATAACGTTCTCAGAAAACACCAGTTATTGTAGTTCCTTGATAGCTTTGCATCAAATGGTTTGTTATCATCCAAGGTGTTTGTCGAAAGTTTAGAATCATGAACAGGTTGTGCATTGTTGGGACTTCGAAAAATCAAGTTGCATCCCAATACAACGCCGCAAGTATTTCATAAAGGCTAGGTATAGGCACATCAGGTTATCCGTAGTCCTCGTCCTGTATTATAACCCCTTCTCCTCTGCTGTTGTTTCCGTCCTTTAGGCCCGCTGTGGTTCTTATGAGACACATCTCTCAATTATGTAAATGTTATGTTTCTCTATCACGATAGCATCATAGATCAAACATTTAAGCAACCAACACCTTGAATGCCCCGTGGATTTACATTTCGGGAACTTCTTTCTTGATAAAAGTGACTTGTGTCTTACCTGCCCTTTCCCCTCCTTTTACATGTAAATGGTCAGTTTGACTAACGTTGTCTGGAATATTTTGTTTGCCTATTAGAAGCCAGTTATGCCGCCTTTCGGTTCTCTTAAGAAATGTTTCTGCAGCCGTATCATATGGAGAAACAGATTTCTCGGAAAACAGTTAGCTCCATTAGTGACATTGCGTCGAGCTCGCGCGAGCAATCCAATGGTTTTCCTTCACCTACTGCCTGTGCCTCATATACCCCTGTTCTCAAATAAATTATGAAATATTTTCGTTAGGAAACAGTGTGACTTTGCCTACGGAAATTGTCAATATCAAACAGTTCATCAGCCATGTGTGAAACTGTGAACTGTTATTTACACTTTTATAAGACAGGACGAAAATATCGGCAAGCTTCTCTAAACAAGTGATGTGTATTTTATTAAGGGGATTAAGTAGTAAACTGGAATGATGTCAGCATCGATATTTGAATTTCAAGAATATCTTTCTGTGTATTTGCATCAGGCTGTGACGTAGAATATTTTTTTTAGAAAGGTAATGAAACACTTGTTTGATGCTTGTGGGGGCAATAGTCTCAAATATCCCCCTCCTCCCTCCCCCCTCTAGTGTTGGGACCAATAAAAACATTGCCCTCAGCCAAATAGTCCTTCATTGGTTTAAATAAACCAGAACAGTCTTCACAAGCAAGAAATAAGTACGTAATTAAATTTATTATACCTTCTGTTAAAATCTAGTAATCTGATTGGTTGAGAAAGATGTGAGTATTTTCAATGATGCTTGCTCGTTTTACAAAGATAAAGAAGACAGGGTGTTATTCCAAAAAATATCACCTGCGCCAAACGTATGCGTGCACGGTTCGTCCCAGTGCCAGGGTGTTATTCCAAAAATTGTTACATGCGCCGAATATATGCGCCCCTGGTTCATCCCAGTGAAAACTTTTCTGAAACGTTTGTCGACCTTAAAAAATGGTGAAGTGGTGAAACACCTAAACATGACACTTGGTATAATAAAATAAAAATCACATTCATGAGAGGGCGATATTTCATATTTTCACCCCTTGTGGTGAAAATATGCAATATTGCCCTCTCATGAATGTGATATTTATATAGTGACATATGATACAAAATTGTATAAAGAGAATATCATATAATGAATGATCCAGATAACATTAAAATCAAAATCAAGAACAAATATAAACATTTTGAATTATGTTATTGTTACGTTTTGCAATGTTGCAATGTATCTAATAAGTAAAATTAAAAGTACATGTACATTTCTTTTAGAAAGACTGCTTGCTTGGTCTTGCAAAATTGCATTGTTCCAATTTGTTTGATCATGTAAGAGTTTTATTTTACTTTAGATATACTTAATTCTGTCAGCATGTTTATAATCGCAGATGATATAAAATGCTACTACTTTTAGATATGTTCGTCGTACTTCTCGAATTGCTTGTGTGCAAAAGTACAATCATCTGGTAATGCAGATTTGTCACTGACCTACTTTGTCAAATCTTCATCTACCTTTCTCGGCAATTGACCTTATTTTCTCTTGATTTTACCAAAGATCCCGAACTAAGCACTCTTGCGACATCAAGAAACACTGATCATCTCTGTGTCGTACAATTGCCGTGTTTTGTTATGTCTACAGTCAACACCTCGGTGTGCCGTGAAGATGTCCGGTCTTGGATACTGCATGTCATTAATACAATAATAACGTTTCGGAATATACGGAAGATGCTTGTTTGCTAAGTAACATGTTGTGTTCGTGTAGAATGTTAAAGTTTTAAACCAATTTCTAATTAACCAGAAGTGTTTTTTCGTGTTTTATGCAATACTTGTCAGGTATGAGATAGCCATGCCTGTGTAAAGATCAAATACTTCTTCCTTGAAACGTTGTCTTGAGGAATGAAGGAAACAATAGTGACAGTATGTCTGTGTTGACAGTAAAGCCAATAAAACTCTGCTCTTCTGTTCAGGTTACAGCAAGACCGACCCAAAGGTTTTGTATGTCTAAGCTCAGACTAAGGATAAAATAAATAGAGTATTATTAAATGCCATTGTTGAGAGTTAGTCGTCTTTTGAGTAAGTACTTTTCATGTTTATGTTAATAGACCAACCTGGCACCATTGTTAGATGTATTTGTGAAGGGAGGATACCAGCTCCACCGTGACACTGCGTATGTACATGTGTATATACAGAGCAAGAACAATAAAATAATATTATCAATGTATATGTGAAAAAAAATGGTTATGTTAAGAGGAATGCCAACTCCTTAATTTACTTATTGATGAATATGTTTAGAATAATGCCAAATCCTTTTTTTCTCTCGATGTCTATGTTACATGTACATTGTAAGAGTTATACCAATTCCTTGTACCTAGATGTCTAGTTAAAGAGGCATGCCAAATCTTTATGTAAAACAGTATGATTTTGTCTAATTAATTTCTATAAAACCAATAGAACACTATCATAAGATGACTTTGTTAGGAATATAGACCAAGAACACTACCACCAGATTACTGTTACTAAACAAGTCAGTGCTCAACGCTTTTATAAGATGACTGAAAAGTTAAGACAGCAACACTGTTACAGTTTATTAGAGGACAGCGTGAAGGGTCGAGGTCATCAGCAGCAGAATTACATCATTGCTATGGGAGTTAAGGCGTACGATATTATTAGATGACTGTTAAGGCTAGCAGCTCTTTTATAAGATGACCGTAGTAAAAGTTGAAACCAAGAACATTTTTTGTTATGTAGATGACTGGGGTAACTGTTAGTTCTGTGCCCCTGTTATTTAAATGATCTTGGTAAGAGGTAAAACCAACGACACCGTTTTTAGATGATTGTGATACCTGTACTCCGTCTTTGCGTATTGCAGAGTTATCTTCTCTTCGGAGCAGGTATTGATTGTTACGTCACTTGTTTGTGAGAATCACGTCATCAATTTTTGAGAAAACGACGCAATTTTCTCGCATAAACCAATGACGTAACAATCAATATCTGCTCCCAAGAGAAGATAACTCTGCAATACGCAAAGACGGAATAAGTTATGGTGACGGCACTGATTGTTGATGAGTTTGGTTGTAACAAATTCAGCGACCCTATTATTAGATGAATATGATATTAATAAAGTCAACAATTCTGTTATTAGATGAGTGTGTTAAGAGTAAAGACAACAACACTAGTATTACATGACTGATAAGAGATAACACAAACAAAAAATTATTATGAGATGAATTTATTTCACCGTGATATAAAACCGTCATTCCCATATTAAAGGAAAGTGTCACTTGTCAGCCGCTGTATCTAGTGTACCGCACACAACAATAGCAGGGACGTGGGCAGCTCTTGGTGGGTGTTGTCGCGTGTTCCTACATTAGGGAGGTCAACCAAAGGTCATGAGGACGCCCGAGAGTGGGGCAAATAACACTTCATAGATCAACAAAGGTTTTATTTAAAACATAACATAACACCAGGTATCGATTACTCGCCCCGCGATTGACCTGCCCTTGTTATGTAGGAACATACGTATGTCCGCCCTTACATAATAGGTGACACGCAATATAATGAATAAATTAGGATACAAACAGTTATTGGCACACTTATAGTAGACCTGAGAGCAAACATAGGGTAAAACGGCCAAACAAGCAGTGGAAATAAGGAGTAGAATAGGACATGAGCTTCCCCAGAACACGGATACCATCTGTCTATATCGCGTCAACATGTCCCTTAACACTCAAAAACACGCACATGGAAAAAGATAATTCGTTTTAATTTTTTTAAATGTGCATTAACAAGGAAAATGAAAAAAATACGACTGACTTGACTGAAGATAAATGACACACGCACCATTTCTCACACACGTTCGTAATATGTTACATTGTTTTTATACATATTTGTATATCGGTGACGTAAAAATGTGTACATTTCAACCAGAACCTGATCAAGCTTGATAGAAATGGCAGCCCTCTCTCTCGCTAAGACACCCCATCCCGCGGGACGTTACAGCTCCGGCTTCTACATCAATGAGTGGGCCCTTTCCATATTATTGTGACCTACTTTGAAAGGTACTCCATTTTAACCAATAACAGTGAAATGTTACATGAAGGGAATATTGTTTTAAAGTCCATTCTGGACGAATACGAAATAACGTTATAAATAAGGCCCCCATAGTTCCTAAGGTTATACCTATTTAATCAGTAGTGAGAAGTGGACGAGTATATGGGTCAAATTTATAACAAAGAAAATATGGTAATTGGATGAATAGTGTCCGTTACAAGTCACAAATAGACAGATAAGAGATGACAAATGGTTATTTGGAAATGATCTACTTGTGGAATAATAATTAAGACAAATAATGAATTACAGAAATTTAAAACTTTCTCAAAAGGCCTTTTTGTGTGGAGCAACATTACTCGGATTTCACATATGCTGCGGTAAATAACCACAAAGGGTTCACGCTGTTAAATCTACTGAATAACCCAGGAATCTAAAGGATATTATTAATCTATCGATATGCCATATTTCTTGTTAAATGGGGAAATGATCACTGATTTCTATGAAACTATATTATGCTATACACTCGCCTTAATACAAAGAGGTGACGAGCTGACAGTTAAAATGGTACCTATTCCTCAACAGAAAAGTGACGTGCAGACACAGGAACCACGCCCCTTCATATAACAGGTGGATATAAGTACACCATGTACCTTTCTTAAATTCTATAACAGGTAGAGACAGATGTACATGTACCAAGTCTCTTCCTGTGAACAGGTAGATACAGATGTACAAGTACCACGTCCCTTCCTGTGAACAGGTAGTTACATTTTGTACAGATGTACAAGTACCACGTCCCTTCCTGTAACAGGTAGATACAGATGTACAAGTACCACGTCCCTTCCTGTAACAGGTAGATACAGATGAACATGAACCACGTCCCGTCCTGTAACAGGTAGATAAAATGTACAAGTACCATGTCCCTTCCTGTAACAGGTAGATACTGATGTACAAGTACCACGTCCCTTCCTGTAACAGGTAGATACAGATGTACAAGTACCACGTCCCTTCCTGTAACAGGTAGATACAGATGTACATGTTCCATGTCCATTCCTGTAACAGGTAGATACAGATGAACATGTACCACGTCCCTTCCTGTAACAGGTAGATATAGATGTACATGTACCACGTCCCTTCCTGTAACAGATAGATCCAGATGTAGATTGTACCATGTCTTTTCCTGTAACCGGTAGCTACAGATGTACAAGTACCATGTCCCTTCCTGTAACAGGTAGATACAGATGCACAAGTATCACGTTCCTTCCTGTAACCGGTAGCTACAGATGTACAAGTACCACGTCCCTTCCTGTAACAGGTAGAAACAGATGTACAAGTATCACGTCCCCTCCTGTAACAATGTAGATTACCATGTCCCTTCCTGTAACAGGTAGATACAGATGTACAAGGACCACGTCCCTTCCTGTAACAGGTAGATACATATGTAAAAGTAACACGCCCCTTCCTGTAATACGTAGATACAAGTACTACGTCCCTTCCTGTAACAGGTAGATACAAGTACATTGTACCACGTCTCTTCCTGTAACACGTAGATATAAATACCACGTCCCTCCCTGTGCTAAGTGAGTCCCTGGTCCCTTCTTATGACAGAAAATTACATTGTATAAACAAAAAACACGATCGACCCTGTGACAGCTGAGAAGAAAGAACCACGCCATTTCGCTGCACTTTCCTATGTAGTACAGTAGACAGAACAATGCCCTATCCATGGACAGAGGAATAGAAACAGGGCCCATTGTTTCGACACAGATATTCATTCCTTGTACTCTTCATAGTTGTATGTGTTTTTAATCTCACGTGACCATCAAATAATAGCATTACGTTGTTTAGGCCGCCATTATATCATGCATGACCAGATACAGACTAATTAACGACGACAGGGAACGTTTATATTCCGCTAAGTAATGCGGACCGTATTACACAATGTATCCTAATCGATCAGTGACACACACATTCATGACCGTGAACATTAATATAGGTGTTTTATGTAAATCATTTACATAAACATGTAGATTTTATGTAGCTTGATAATTTTTACATCTATATAGTATATATCATATGTGCTAGATCAGTGACCTTTAACCTTTACATACAGTGCATTACGTCATCATATCAGTGACGTAGACATTCAAACACGGTGTATATCATGTTTATTCAGTGACATTTAACATTATATACAGTGAATAACTTCATCCGATCAGTGACCATAACTTTTACACACAGTGTATACTGTTTAATCGATGACCTTTAGCCTTTACAAACAGTAATTGACATTAGATCAGCGACGTTTACATCTACATACACTGTTCGATCCTCACAAACAGTGTAGCATGCTAAATCAATGACCTAGACATACACACATATAGTGTATCAATTGTTTTATGTTAAATCAATGGCACACATTGTATGAGGCTAGAAAATTGTTATTAACATTAAATGACAGTGTATCATGTCATTTAGTGGCCGATATCTTACGGTGCATATAGTGACCTGATCATATGACCTGTCATATGATGTCATCCCAGTGATACAGACATTTACAATATATGAAGTTAGATCATTGACAGACGAATTTACATACAATGTATTACATTACATCAGTGACAAACATACCATGTAACTGGTTCAATCAGTGACATACACATGTATATACATGTTCAATGCATCACGTTACATCAGTGACGTACATATTTACATACAATGCATAACGTTGTATCAGTGACATACACATTTACATACAATGCATAACGGTACATCATTAACGTACACATTTACATACAATGTATAACGGTACATCATTGACGTACACATTTACATACAATGTATCATGCTACGTCAGTGACATACACATTTACATACAATGTATAATGTTATGTCATTGACATTGCAATGTACAAAAGACTGTCTAAGAACCCAGAATCGTACAGATTACCATGTAACATGGCGTCCTACAGATCATATTGTATCCGGTATAATAAAGACAGTTTGTAGCTCGTGTCATCAAGATAATCGCTGGTGCCAAATAGCCAGCCTTGTATACTGGTGTCATACAGATAGCCTTGTACTTTAGTGTCACACAGACAGCATGGTACCCTGGTGTCATACAGACAGCCATGTATTTTAGAATCATACATACAGCCTTGTACCCTGGTGTCATACAGATGGCCTTGTACTTTAGTGTCACACAGACACCATGATACCCTGGTGTCATACAGACAGCCATGTATTTTAGTATCATACATGCAGCCTTGTACCCTGGTGTCATACAGATAGCCTTGTACACTGGTGTCATACAGACAACATGGAACCCTGGTGTCATACAGATAGCCTTGTACCTAGTATCACACAGACACCATGGTACCCTGGTGTCATACAGACAGCCATGTATTTTAGAATCATACATGCAGCCTTGTACCCTGGTGTCATGCATACAGCCTTGTACCCTGGTGTCATACAGATGACCTTGTACCTAGTATCACACAGACAACATGGAACCCTGGTGTCATACAGACAGCCATGTATTTTAGAATCATACATACAGCCTTGTACCCTGGTGTCATACAGATGGCCTTGTACTTTAGTGTCACACAGACAACATGGAACCCTGGTGTCATACAGATAGCCTTGTACTTTAGTGTCACACAGACACCATGGTACCCTGGTGTCATACAGACAGCCATGTATTTTAGTATCATACATACAGCCTTGTACCCTGGTGTCATACAGATAGCCTTGTATTTTAATATCATACATACAGCCTTGTACCTAGTGTCACACAGACAACATGGTACCCTGGTGTCATACAGACAGCCATGTACTTTAGTGTCACACAGACAACATGGAACCCTGGTGTCATACAGACAGCCATGTACCTAGTATCACACAGACACCATGGTACCCTGGTGTCATACAGATAGCCTTGTACCTAGTGTCACACAGACAACATGGTACCCTGGTGTCATACAGACAGCCATGTATTTTAGAATCATACATACAGCCTTGTACCCTGGTGTCATACAGATAGCCTTGTACTTTAGTGTCATGCATACAACATGTTAGTCTGGTATCATACCGACAGCCTTGTACCCTTGTGTCATACAGACACCCTTGTACTTTGGTGTCATACAGACAACCTTGTATCCTGGTGTCATACAGACAGCCTTGTACTTTAGCGCCATACAGACAAAATTTTACCCTGGTATAATATAGACAGCTTTGTACCCTGTTGTCATACAAACAGCCTTGTACTTTAATTTGTATACAGACGGCATGGTACCCTTGTGTCATACAGACATTATTGTACCCTGGTTTCATACAGACAGCCTTGTACTAAGTGTCATACAGACCAGCTTTGTACCCTGGTGTGATACAGACAACATTGTACCCTGGTATCATACGGACAAACTTGTACAATGGTATCATATAGACAGCCTTGTACCCTGGTTTCATACATACAACCTTGAACCCATGCGGCATACATATAGCCTCGTACCCTTGTGTCACACAGAAACCTTTGTACCCTCGTGTCACAGAGACAACCTTGTACACTGGTATCGTACAGTCAAGGTTGTACCCTGGTGCCATACATACAACCTTGAACCCTGGTGTCATACATATAGCTATGTACCCTGGTGTCATACAGACAGCATTTTATTTTGGAGTCATAAAGACAGCGTTTTACCCTGGTGTCATGCAGATAGCCGTGTACACTGGTGTCATACAGACAGCCTTGTAACCTTGTGTCATTCATAAAGCCTTGTTCCCTGGTGTTATACATATAGCCTTGTACTTTGGTGTCATACAGGCAGCCTTGTACCCTGGTGTTATGCATATAGCCTTGTACTTTGGTGTCATACAGGCAGCCTTGTACCCTGGTGTTATGCATATAGCATTGTACCCTGGTGTCATACAGACAGCCCTGTACACTTGTGTCATACAAACAACCTTGCACACTGGTGTCCTACAGACAACCTTGTACACTGGTGTCATAAAGACAACCTTGTACCCTAGTGTCGTACAGACAGTATTGTAATCTGGCGGCGTACAGACAGCCTTGTACCTTGGTGTCAAACAGACAGCATTGTACTTTGTTCTCATACAGACAGTCTTGTACCCTGGTGACATACATACAGAATTTGATACTGGTGTCATACAGACAGCTTTGCATCCTGCTGTCATACAGACAACCTTGTACCCTGGTGACGTACAGACAGCCATGTACCCTGGTGTCATACGGACAACCTTGTACCCTGGTGTCATACAGACAGATTTGTACTCTGGTGTCATACAGGCAATCTTGTACCCTGGTGTCATACAGACAACCTTGTACCCTGGTGACGTACAGACAGCCATGTACCCTGGTGTCATACGGACAACCTAGTACCCTGGTGTCATACAAACAATCTTGTACCCTGGTGTCATACAGACAACATTGTACCCTGGTGTCATACATACAACATCGTACCCTGGTGTCAAACAGATAGCCATGTACCCTGGTGTGATATAGACAGCATTGTACCCTGGTGTCGTACCGACAGCTTTGTACCCTGGTGTGATATAGACAACATTGTACCCTGGTGTCGTACAGACAACATTGTAACCTGGTGTCATACAGACAACCTTGTACCCTGGTGTCATACAGACAACATTGTACTCTGGTGTCATACAGACAACATTGTACCCTGGTGTCGTACAGACAACATTGTACTCTGGTGTCATACAGACAACATTGTAATCTGGTGTCGTACAGACAACATGGTACCCTGGTGTCGTACAGATAAAGCTTTGTACCCTGGTGTGATATAGACAACATTGTAGTCTGGTGTCGTACAGACAGCTTTTCACTCCGGTGTGATATAGACAACATTGTACTCTGGTGTCGTACAGACAGCTTTTCACTCTGGTGTCAAACTGTATCAATGTACAGCCTCACACATGTCACCAAATATATGTACTTTATGCCTCAACACTGTTAAATGACAGTTTGAGTTGTATGTTAGTGCCAACTGTCATCTCGTTTTGGTATGTCAGCCATTTTAATTTAGATACACCTAGCACATGTATGCATGTTATTGCCACTCACCAGTCATACAGCTTGATTAAGAGAATTTGATATTACATTATTATGATTTATAATGTAAACTATTTAAATTCAAAAGTTCACCTACAAATATAAAAATAGAATAAATCCCTATTTTGGCTGGTCATTTGAAAAAAAAAATATTATGCCGTACTCAAACTACAGAAATACAGAAAGCAATATATACATGTAATTCGTTCAAAAACGGAATGGCCCCTTACGAGGCGCGCTATTTAATATCTATCATATAGGGTATGCCACAGACAATTAGTCCCAACATTAGTGGCACAGAATATAGATCTATTAATATATAACAAGGTGGCATGAATTCGATAAGAACTAGGGGAATACCGTAATGGTAAATTTCGTGGTAAAAAGTCGTGTGTGTTTGCACTGACGACACAGACATTACATGGTATATAATATATTCGTGAATCGTGACAGCACGTGAGTGCACGGTAGGGAGGAGAAAGCCCACCTAATGCAGTGTAGTTCAGCAACACCATTCGTTGACCAACGCCCAGTACAATATACATATGTACAAAAGGATGCTTGCATAGGCAAATGGTGCATCGCATGTACAGAGTGTTTTCGTCTCGAGGTCAACCGAGGTCGAGCGCTCTCGCGAAATCACTACGTCACAAGATGTACACCATTTTATTTTATATATGGAAGTCAGGAACTACATAATGTATCAATAAATTATTTGAATATCAACTAGAACGTAAGTAACAACAGCAGTATCGGGGTACTACCCAACAGTGTAGTAATAAACCGGAACATGGGCTTCCGGTACTACCCAACGGTTTACACATGTAGTAATAAACCGGAACATGAGCTTCCAGTACTACCCAACGCTGTAGTAATAAACCGGAACATGAGCTTCCGGTACTACCCAACGCTGTAGTAATAAACCGGAACACGAGCTTCCGGTACTACCGAACAGTGTAGTAATAAACCGGAACATGGACTTCCGGTACTACCCAACAGTGTAGTAATTAACCGGAACATGGGCTTCCGGTACTACCAAACAGTGTAGTAATAAACCGCAACATGAGCTTCCGGTACTACCCAACAGTGTAGTAATAAACCGGAACATGAGCTTCCGGTACTACCCAACAGTATAGTAATAAACCGGAACATGAGCTTCCGGTACTACCGAACAGTGTAGTAATAAATCGGAACACGAACTTCCGGCTTACATTTTATCACTTAGAAACAACATAATACTAGTCAACAGTAATATATGGTAAACCTGAAACCTCCATCTTTATGAGCGACAGTGAGACAAATACAACGTAGGTTTACACGAATATTTTTGGCAAACAGGGTTGTCGGCCCTTGTAAACAAGGAAAACATTTACAACGACTTACATTTGTTTTTACACTCATTTTAAAGTTTTTTCCTAGCCAGTGCTGACTTTACAATTTTAATACTTTGATAACATTCATTCACAAATTAATGTTTCACCGAGCAGATAAAACCGAGTCTACACTTGTTTCAACCAATGACTCCCACTTTAACAGGGTTCGCTCCCATCCCTTACCTTCTTAATACAGACCGAATGAGTAAAGGTTGTCCGTAAGGTAACGAAACCACGCGATTGAGTTGAAAATACATGTACAAATACGTCTATGGTGAATTAAACATGGTAGCTCAACGGTATACAATGTATCACACCTGTCTCGCAGCGTTACTGGTATAGCAACCGTTGCTGGAAATGTCTATGTACAGGTGGCACCGCCCACAACGCTCTGCTCCCACCCGACACCGCAGAATTTGCTTCACTTTCCCTTTATCACGGTGAGGTTCCACCCAACCCCCATTCCACTAGTGGACCCGATGCCTACACTAATAACAGTCCGATGTTGGGCCTCGCTATCTGTCCTACCACCCATTACACGTATTAAGGTATAGTATGATTTAACAGTTTCTACTGTCCATTCTGATAAACTACTGTACAGCTGGCCTTTACAAGTCTTTTTAACATAGTAAGTGAATATGTAAACATAATTAACGATGGCAACATTTATAATTTGAAGATGATTCATATAAAAATACAGCACGCCAAAATAATCCGGATTACAGAATGAAACAATTTGGTGAGACGCAAAACTTTATACACTATTTTTTTTTATATGATGTAGACATATTAACACTTGATATATCCCTCTAATTGAGTTGATCCCGTGGTTGACGCCTAAACATAAATATCAACTACTAAATATGATGGGAAGGACCACGCACAGAGACACAGTGATAGTTGATATATAAATTATAAAGAATATTCTGTCGAACACCAGCGCTAAAGCCTTCCACTCTTTGGCCATTTTCTCTTTTCTGTCTTTTTCTTCTAGTCTTTCTTTATACATTTTGATGAAATTTCGTATTTCGTTAAGTTTTGCGTGTATCTCGGCCAACTGAGGGTTCTGAACAGTCTCGGTTTGGGCGTTGGCTGTCATCTCTGACGACCCCCTCCAGTTGTTAGGGGGCGCCCACTTATTCTCGCCATTGCCAATCATACATCTGCGCGAGGGTGGGCACGTCACTTGACTATCGTCTTTGAAAGGCAAGACGAGGTTTTCCATACACACGACCCTCGCCACGAATGAAAACATCACCTATTGAACAGAAAAAACGCAAACGTTTAGATTTTTATCAGTTTATCACATCAAATATCACTTAAAATCGATACACTTCTTAAGTCTGATCTATCTCTCAATATACACACGTATTGGACGGTAACCGTTAATTGATATGGCGGTATTAACTAGCGTGGCCTCTATGTTATTACTACAGTAGTACTGGTGACATGTTACGCTTAGCACCAACTTCCGGTGTACGGTAATCGTGAATCGCCCCAACAGTGCTGATAACATACTAAGTCAGAACTTCCTTGATAACTGCTGCACTACCGGCTATTTCTAACGCGATGTTTATGGTCATGTTACCAATAATCCGTAATTAACGAAACCATCAATCAGCAGGCCATTTTCGATGACCTATTGCGAGAGATGAGTTTGTTACCCCAGTCTAACATCAACGAAACACACAAAGCGTAGGTACATAGTCATACACGATACTCTACTTGGTTTATTAATAAGAACACTTCTGATATGATAAATACTCATCTGCACCTACTTATATCATCTAGATCAACTTTCCTATTCGCACAACGTATAGAATCATCCTTATAATAAGATCAGTATACATCAACTTTGTTTGAGAAGAGCCACACCAGCATCACATCAGCGGTCAATGCTCTTAACAAGACCTTAATGTAAAAAGGGACCAACATTAATTTTTGACCTACAAGTTATTTATACTAATATATTTCTTTTCCCTCAAAGAAGAACGCTAGACAAGATTGCCGCATGCACATTGTATTACAATGTTACACTCATGGATAAGTTCTATCATTTGTAAAAAAAAATGAGATTGTTAAAATGTATGCACTACTTAAATCTTTCAAAACATCTACCTTTCTTTTTAGTAAAGTTTCCCTATTTTATTTACAAATGCAGTTAAAAAAAACTTACCACTAGTCGCATCATGTTCTAACACAGGTCACGAAGACGAGTACGTGGGCAAACATATTGGAGTAGAAACCATGGTGTTAGATAAAGAATACGTTTTGATTGTACCTGATGTCTTCATTGCAAGTTGTATAATTCGTTGTGTATACCTTTGACGCTATTAGTTTACTTCACTATGTATGACGTTTGAAGGTATTTGGTTATTTCATTACGTATAACATTTAACAGTATCTGATAACTTCATATGTAGAACTTTTAACAAATCTTGTTACTTCATTACATGTGCAGTTGACTGTACCTGGTTATTTCATTAATTCATTACATTTACATGTTTACTTTTTTGTTTTTTTCATTAGTTCATTACATGTACATTTTAACTGTACCTGGTTATTTTATTAATTCATTACATGTACATTTTTACTGTCTTTGGTTATTTCATTAACTCATTACATGTGCAGTTGACTGTACGTGGTTATTTCGTTAGTTCATTACATGTGCAGTTGACTGTACGTGGTTATTTCGTTAGTTCATTACATGTACATTTTAACTGTACCTGGTTATTTGATTAATTCATTACATTTACATTTGGACTCTACCTGGTTATTTCATTCATTCATTACACTTACATTTTTACTGTACCTCGTTATTTCATTAATTCATCACATTTACCTTTTGACTGTACCTAGTTATTTCATTGATTCATTACATTTACATTTTTACTTTTTTGTTTTTTTCATTAGTTCATTACATGTACATTTTTACTGTATTTGGTTATTTCATTAATTCATTACATGTACAATTGGACTGTACATTGTACCTGGCTATTTCATTAATTCAGTACATGTACATTTTGACTGCACCTGCTATTTTATTTATTCTTAACATTTATATTTTGACTGTACCTGGTTACTTCATTTATTCATTACATTTTGACTGTACCTGGTTATTTTATTAATTCATTACATGTACATTTTTAATGTTCCTGTTTTTTTCATTAATTCATTACATTTACATTTTAATTGTACCTGGTTAGTTCATTAATTCATCACATTTACATTTTTACTGTGCCTGATTAATTCATTAATTCATTACATTTACATTTTAATTGTACCTGGTTAGTTCATTAATTCATCACATTTACATTTTTACTGTGCCTGATTAATTCATTAATTCATTACATTTACATTTAAACTGTACCTGGTTATTTCATTAATTCATTACATGTACATTTTAACTGTACCTGGTTATTTTATTAATTCATTACATGTACATTTTAACTGTACCTGGCTATTCCATTATTCATCACATTTACCTTTTGACTGTACCTGGCTATTTTATTAATTCTGAACATTTATCTTTTTACTGTACTTGGTTATTTCATTAATTAATTACATTTACATTTTAACTGTACCTGGTTATTTCATCAATTCATTACATTTACATTTGGACTCTACCTGGTTATTTCATTAATTCATCACATTTACCTTTTGACTGTACCTGGCTATTTTATTAACTCTTAACATTTATATTTCGACTGTACCTTGTTATTTCATTAATTCATTACATGTACATTTTTAATGTTCCTGTTTTTTTCATTAATTCATTACATTTACATTTTGACTGTACCAGGCTATTTCATTAATTCATTACATTTACCTTTTGACTGTACCTGGCTATTTTATTAACTCTTAACATTTATATTTCGACTGTACCTGTTTATTTCATTAATTCATTACATTTACCTTTTGACTGTACCTGGCTATTTTATTAATTCTTAACATTTATATTTTGACTGTACCTGGTTACTTCATTTATTCATTACATTTTGACTGTACCTGGTTATTTTATTAATTCATTACATGTACATTTTAACTGTACCTGGCTATTCCATTAATTCATTACATGTACATTTTAACTGTACCTGGCTATTCCATTATTCATCACATTTACCTTTTGACTGTACCTGGCTATTTTATTAATTCTTTACATTTATATTTTGACTGTACCTGGCTATCTTATTAATTCTGAACATTTATATTTTTACTGAACTTGGTTATTTCATTAATTAATTACATTTACATTTTAACTGTACCTGGTTATTTCATCAATTCATTACATTTACATTTGGACTGTAACTGGTTATTTCATTACTTCATCACATTTACCTTTTGTAACTGGTTATTTCATTACTTCATCACATTTACCTTTGACTGTAGCTGGCTATTTCTTTAATTCATTACCTTTACATTTTTACTGTACTTGGTTATTTAATTAATTCATTACATTTACATTTTAATTGTACCTGGTTAGTTCATTAATTCATCACATTTACATTTTTACTGTGCCTGATTAATTCATTAATTCATTACATTTACATTTTGACTGTACCAGGCTATTTCATTAATTCAGTACATGTACATTTTGACTGCAACTGGCTATTTCATTAATTCATTACATTTTCATTTGGACCCTGCCTTGTTATTTCATTAATTCATTACATCTACATTTGGACTGTACCTGGTTATATTATATGTACGTTTTTACTGTAACCGGTCATTTTATTAATTCATTGCATTTACCTTTTGAGTGTACCTGGCTATTTTATTAATTCTTAACATTTATTTTTTGACTGTACCTGGTTATTTCATTTAATAATTACATTTACATTTGGACTCTACCTGGCTATTTCATTTATTCATTACATTTACATTTGGACCCTACCTGGTTATTTCATTAATTCATTATATGTACGTTTTTACTGTAACTGGTCATTTTAGTTATTCATTGCATTTACCTTTTGAGTGTACCTGGCTATTTTATTAATTCTTAACATTTATTTTTTGACTGTACCTGGTTATTTCATTAATTCATTACATTTACATTTTGACTGTACCTGGCTATTTCATTAATTCATTACATTTACATTTTAATTGTACCTGGTTAGTTCATTAATTCATCACATTTACATTTTTACTGTGCCTGATTAATTCATTAATTCATTACATTTACATTTTGACTGTACCTGGATATTTCATTAATTCATTACATTTACATTTTGACTGTACCTGGCTATTTCATTAATTCATTACATTTACATTTTAATTGTACCTGGTTAGTTCATTAATTCATCACATTTACATTTTTACTGTGCCTGATTAATTCATTAATTCATTACATTTACATTTTGACTGTACCTGGCTATTTCATTAATTCATTACATTTACATTTGACTGTACCTGGTTATTTCATTAATTCGTTACTTTTACATTTTAACTGTTTCTGGTTATTTCTGTAATTCATTACATTAACATTTGGACCCTACCTGGTTATTTCATTTATTCATTACATTTACATTTGGACTGTAACTGGTTATTTCATTACTTCATCACATTTACCTTTGACTGTAGCTGGCTATTTCTTTAATTCATTACCTTTACATTTTTACTGTACTTGGTTATTTAATTAATTCATTACATTTACATTTAAACTGTACCTGGTTATTTCATTAATTCAGTACGTGTACATTTTGACTGCACCTGACTATTTTATTTATTCTTAACATTTATATTTTGACTGTACCTGGCTATTTTATTAATTCTGAACATTTATATTTTTACTGTACTTGGTTATTTCATTAATTCATTACATTTACATTTTAACTGTACCTGGTTATTTCATTAATTCAGTACATGTACATTTTGACTGCACCTGGCTATTTTATTTATTCTTAACATTTATATTTTGACTGTACCTGGTTACTTCATTTATTCATTACATTTTGACTGTACCTGGTTATTTCATTAATTCATTACATTTACGTTTCTACTGTACCTGGCTATTTTGTTAATTCATTACATATACATTTTGACGGTAACTGGTTATTTCATTAATTCATTATATGTACGTTTTTACTGTAACTGGTCATTTTATTAATTCATTGCATTTACCTTTTGAGTGTACCTGGCTATTTTATTAATTCTTAACATTTATTTTTTGACTGTACCTGGTTATTTCATTAATTCAGTACATGTACATTTTGACTGCACCTTGCTATTTCATTAATTCATTACATTTACATTTTTACT